GCTCCTCCCAAGAAAACACACAGATTACGTGATAATGGAGAAAGACTCGACAAAAGATGCGAATTCAAACAACAGGGAGTCACAAATGGAAGGGCAATGGGGTCTCTACGAGGCGTACAATGAGCTGCACGGTTTGGCGCAGGAGTTCGAGACACCGTTCGACGCACCGGCGGTGCTGGTGGTGGGCCACCAGACCGACGGCAAGAGCGCACTTGTTGAGGCACTTATGGGCTTCCAATTCAACCACGTTGGCGGCGGCACCAAGACCCGACGTCCTATCACTCTTCACATGAAGTACAACCCGGATTGTCATTCTCCCCTCTGCTATTTGTTGGCAGAGTCTGACCCGTCTGTTTTCCAGGAGAAATCTCTCCAAGAAATTCAGGTTGTTATACTTCAAACACAATCGTCCAGAAAACACTGGTTTGTCGTGCTTTTCAGTGTGGCTAGTAAGTAGAAAACGATAATGAATTTTTTTTGGGTTTTAATTATGAACATGTTTGGCTAAGCTTTCAATATTTACTTGTAGAATTGGAAATAAAAACGTTTATAATTTTTTTTGTATCTTAGAATTAAGAAAAATAGAACTCATCTTATCCTTTTGGAAATTAAAAAAAGTTCCTTATTTTTAGCTTTGTAACCGCTGATAGTTACGTGGCTAAATGAGGCATAGTTGATTTGGTAATGTATTCTTTTTATTTGTTATGGTTCTTTATGGCTAAGATTTTTTTATATGTTTTGGCCGTGTGTTGAGTAATGGAATCAACATTCATGAAGTTTTGGAAATAACCCAATTTTTTATATTTTTTCTGAAATTATGTCCTCAAATAGACATATAATGTCAGTGCTCGCACTGAAACACACGGACACAGTGAACACACAGCCACACCCACAAACACAAATTTCCTTGTTTGAACAAGTTTTTATGCATTCGGAAAAACTCTTGGATCAAGATCCTTAATTCTGCTTAAGTTGAACGTTCAGATGTCAGTAGTGTAGGGGATTGAAACTCGGATGAAAGGAGGAGTAATAACCCGTTCACATTGTCAAGTTGACGCAAATATTCTAGGGTGAAGATATGCGAGAGCTGTTGGTTGAGGTGCAAAGAATCCTCGATTGGGATGGTATAACACCCAGTTGAATTTAGTCGAGGCAAGAATGGAAATTGAAAGAAATGAACTAACAAAAATCAGAAATTGTTTTGGTCCCTACTAAATTTAGTGAGGAGAAAGGACCATTACGATGTACTTCTAGATTTGTAAAAATTAAGACATGTACCTCTATCTCAAATCGAATTTTCTAATATTTTGGGGTGCCCCTAACTCCCATTAAATTTCACAAGTTTAAAACTCTTTGCTCTAATTTATATACAAGAGAAACATGTATATGACTTCATGTACTTAAATGTAGGTGAGAATGGAACATGATTAAGGAAATAAACCAGAGAAACACCAGATTGTACGTAGAAATAATATTATTAACGAAGAAAGAGAACTGAGCACTTGTATTACAGCTTCAAGTCTCAGAGGTTAAAGCATATCCGAAGGTGGCAGCATAAGTATACAATAGAAATGTAAAATATCAACTTAGTATATTAAGGAGTAGGATATAAATTGAGCAAGATCTTGCTCAGAAATGACATTGTTAGTTTAATTTTATCATTGGCAGAAGAAGTAGTGTATAAACTTCAATCCCTGAAATTTCATGAAGGCTTGCAGAGGCAGTTTCTATGGAAAAAGATGACAAATAATAATATAACCCTTAATAGAGAAAATGTTATTGGCAAGTGGTAACTGTATTAATTTGTTAAGTTTTTTTATTTAAATTGCTGCTAGGCTTAATCATGAGATAATACTTAGTTACTCTTTTTCTCCACAATACTCATCTAAATTTGCACAATCTTGTGTAGGCATATATTGAAGCTGAGAATATGAGGTTGGAACAGGAACCTTATCAGTTCTCGTCAAAAGAAATAATAATCAGAATCAAGTACAAATACTGTCCAAATCTTACAATCATTGACACTCCAGGACTTATTGCCCCAGCGCCTGCTCGAAAAAATCGTTCTTTACAGGTCAAAGGACAAAAATCAAATTATATATCTTTCACTCAAGAAGCAATTATGTGCTGAATGTTGGGAACCTATCTATGGCAGGCTCAAGCTCATGCTGTGGAATCTTTGGTGCGAGCTAAAATGCAGCACAAAGAATTCATTATATTATGCCTTGAAGATTGCAATGATTGGAGTAATGCCACAACACGGAGGATCGTGATGCAAGTATGTGCCTGTTTTCTCCTATATCTATTAATGTTATGGGGTGGTTTATTGGGAAATTACGATGGTCTGAAGAAAAACAAATTGATTACCTTGGAAGTTTTTGCGCTAAACTCAATTTGTTTGCATACTAATATAGATTGATCCTGAACTTTCAAGGACCGTAGTTGTCTCAACAAAGCTTGACACAAAAATACCACAATTCGCACGGGCTTCAGATGTGGATGTTTTTCTTTCACCCCCTGCATGCACTCTTGATGGTTTCATGTTAGGTGGTTCACCCTTTTTCACGTCTGTTCCTTCTGGAAGAGTTGGGACTGGTCATGAATCAGTTTACAGATCGAATGATGATTTTAAACAGGTTAGACTTCAATATCTGCCAAACTGCATTATTGTCTGAGTTAGTTGTGTCAGAGGTAATTGATGCTAATAATGGCGCCTGATGGACGCGCTTAACTGTGTTTGAATAACTAATTTAACTATTAGATATATGTTGATTCTCCTTTTTGTCTCCTAGATTTATACTATGAAATCCAGAGCATTCTTTTTTCAGTGATCTGTGTAAAATATCTATTTGAAATCAAGAGCATTTCAATTAGTATTTAGGTAGTGACATGTGAATATCATATGATGTTCCACTTTGCATGCTACACAATTTAATATCAACCACATAAAAACTGTATAATGGCATCCTTTCGTCTTACTGAATTAGGAATTTTCATCTTGACAATGTAAACATAGTGTCATTCTACAACAAATGATGACAATAAATTCCTCTTCTTCATTCTGGGTGTCTTTTGGTGTATAACTTGTGCACTTGTAGGCACATTTTATGGAGATTAGACGACTAGTTATCTTGTGAATGCCAAAATCACTCACTCACTGTCAATTTGAATCAATATTTTCTATCCATGAAGATTCCACCAGAACGCCTTCTGCTTTTAATAGGCCATGAGCTAGATCAAAAAAATCTGCTACTTGTTGATTGAGAGAAGACATTGTCTTCATAAGGTCTCTCATAGTGAAACTATATTTTTATAGTTTGTCCCTGGTTTATGGCCCTTTTGTGTTTGTCAATCAAAGTATTACTTTGGAAGAATAAGGAAACAGCAAAATGATTCAGCTAACTCTGCACATTGTTTCTCCATTCCCACTTTGCCTTCTCCTTTTCTTTGTATTGTTGCTCTGATGTACTTTTATCAACGTATAAGCAGCAGTGCCTAAAAAAGTACCAGTATAAAACTTCAGTAAAATTCTAAAACACAATATCCTCAATTGAAAACTTCAGGTACTTTTATCAATGTATAAGGAATCTTGGTCGATAATGATCGCATCGGACTAAGCCAGCTTATATTTGGCAGTACCAAACATCTTGGACACCAACTAATGGCACCAGACAGAAAATTGTTAGTTTCTATAACATATCTGATGTATGGTTAACCTATTTTACATATATTGACATTATTTAGTGCCCGTTTGATATATAGATTTTTTTAGAATACATTTTGTGAAAAGTGATTTTCAATATTTTTTTGGGAGAATGTGTGGTTAAAAAAGGAAAAAAATTATGTGTCCACGTGCAAAATTATTTTATTGGGAGAATGTACGGTTTAAAATGAGTTTGGAAAAAAATGAGTTTTAAAGAATCTTTAATAAACACGGACTTAAAGTTTTTTCTCTAAAGATAAAATTTTCTTAAATACTAGTAATATTTTCATTAGTGTACTTAGGTCCTGTACAATTTATTTCTGCCGTATGCTTCATTATTATATTAGCACAATTATTCAGCTAAAATATTGTATATGCATGTAGAAATAAATCTGATATGGTATCTGAGGATACACCAATAATGATATTGAATACCAAGAGGCTATCAGAGACGTTTGCAGGTGTGTTATTTATAAATTGGCTTGATTTAATGCTCAGCGAAATTCGTCTGTTTGTATGATAGTCCATGTTTGCTTGAAAAATTACTTTATTGTTCGTTTTGAGACAACTTTCTTGTTGGATAAAGACATGGTTGTGGTATAGGATTGGGGCAATTTTCACCCAATGCTGAGGCGTGGCACAGAGGCATGGATTCACTATTTTATAGCTTTTAATTGCTACATGTTTTTCTGTTTCATGATGTGTCCCAGAATGCAACTTCCTGTACATTGACAGGCTATTTATTTGAGAGAGATGGAAGATGTCACCGCTTTAGAGGAGAAGCTGGGAAGATCACTTTCAACACAGGAACGAAGCAGAATAGGTGTTAGCAGCCTTAGGCTATTTTTGGAAGAATTACTGCAGAAGAGGTACTTATAATAAATATTTTTGGGTTCTGTATCTTATGCAACGGCTAATTAAAACTGACACAAATTTTATGATACACATTTTTACAAGGTACATGGACAGTGTTCCAATGATCATTCCACTTCTTGAAAAAGAGTATCGAAGCACTACAAGGAAGCTAAGTGAAATAAATCTGGAACTCAGGTATGTAGTGTCTCTTACCTATCTAGCTTATCAATAAAAATGTGAATACATAATTAAGAAATTTGTACTATGAAGCTCCATCACTGAAAGATATTTGATGGTGGATGAACTTAGTTTAGATTGATTAGTTACAGGAATATGAATCGCCTCGTCTGAAAGTTTAAGCGACTAGAGAATGACAATCTTAAAGCCTGTTTGGTGCATATTAAAATGAGAGAATGCATTTTTTTGAAGTGATGTGATGGGGAATTTGTGGTCGAAAATGAAGGAAAAATTATTGATGTGATGAAAAATATTATTTTATTGAAAAATGTGTGGTTGAACATGAGTACAAGAATGAGAATGAAAAAAATAATGTATGTCAAACATGAGCTTATTATTTAAATTATTTATTTAATGTGACAAATTCATTTTCACCAAAAGCCTAACAAACACACAATCTTTATAAATGTATGGCATAAGACTCGATCTCGGGACCTGAACTTGCCTTGATACCTTGTGATATAGTACGAATAAATACGAAGAACAGAAACTGTATTCAGTTTATTAAAAATTTAGGTACACGAGGTAATATTATACAACTAAGGCTGCTATGCATGATTGAAACAGAACCTATTAAAATTGGGTTCCTGATTCCTAAAATCTGGATACCCTTAGAAATCAATTTGAAATAAACTGTTGAAGACAAGATTTAAATGAATTCACATGGCTTTATCTAACAACTTAAACTTTTATATGAGATGGTATACATGATATCACAGTCTAGCAAAATATATGTGTTCAAGTCTCATAGCCTCTCATTTATTTATAATTAAGCCTGTCTAAAGGGTTACGATAAAAATTGAACCCAGGCTACATGTGAGGGGATGTTTGCTGACAAGATTCAATAAATGTGCCCTTATCGAACATCTTATGCTTTTAGAGGAGATGGTTAACAAAAACTAATCCTAGAAGAAGATGCTGAATTCTAGGAACAAACCATTGTTGCCTTGACAGTTAATCTTCCCATTCTTTTCCCTTTCTGAATATGATTTTGTATCCTTTTTGGGAGGAGGCCCGGAGTGGGGGTTGGTTGGGGAGAGTCAAACTATGTTTTCTTGATCTCTTCAACTATATGTTATGTTTGTTCACGGCTCTATTCTATGAAGTAATCTCGTTTCTCTTCTTTCTCCCAGCTCTTTGGATGTAGTAAAGCTGAAGGAGAAAGGAAAAGCTTTCCATGACCTGTTCCTTACCAAGGTTTAAACTTACCGTCACATTTAAAATGCTGTCATATCTTCTGTGATATTCTTAATCCCCATCTTTCTGTTCTTTAACTTCTTTGTGAATTTTTGTCTTCTTTTCTTTTGCCCTAAGATTGGCGAGAAAGTTCTGAACATATATTAGGCAGTTCTTCTGGTATTTTACTTGTCAATTAATATCTTACATTGTGTTGTTGTTTATATAAGCTAAATAGTAAAGATAGATTCATGGATTTCTTTTTCAGTTGCTCACTGATGTTCCTTCCTTTTCTCAGTTATCACTTCTGTTGAAAGGGACAGTTGTTGCGCCTCCAGATAAATTTGGTAAATTTCTTAAATATAGAAAAAACATATTTTTGTTATATTGACAATTTCAGTATAGTAATCGATACCCACACCTACACACACTCTTCACCGTTTGTGTTTAGTTTAGTTTTGTTATCTTCCTTTTAACTCCTAGAGACTTGATTTATCCCATTGTCACTCTCCTCTTTCCCCTCTGAGATGTTTAACAAAGATTATGTTAAATGTCAATATAAAAAGCTGTGGCTTTTTTGAACTGCTTACGGAGACTCATTCTATGGCCCTCATTAAAATGTTGGAAATATAAGGACTCGTAAAATGTGAAGTTCTTTAATATATGGGTGTTCTCACAAGACCTTCATTAACTCTGTTGTGTTCTTTTTGCAGGTGAAACACTACAAGATGAGAGGGTTAATGGAGGAGCATTTATTGGCTCTGATGGCCTTCAGTTCCCACACAAGTTGATACCTGTAAGTCCTGATATGTTTTATAATTTGTATGCTTTGAAATGAATATCTTAATGACCGTTTTTCTCATGTGGTCCACCTTGAAAAAGTTATTTTGTTTAATTAGCTCAATTGTAAACAACTAAGTTTTGTTGTCAAGTATGTGACTGACTCTCACTACTACAAGCATCTGTTTTTGTACCTTTGTCGATAATTGGCTGCTTCAATCTGCCAGAATAAAGTAGTCAAATTATAAACTCCACTCTTATAAACAGGTTCATGCAATTTTGCCTCCACTCGGATTGATATTTTACACCCATCCTCTAGCATGCACTTGTATTGTATTCTTACTTTAAAGACAAGCAAAGTTGAAAACAGAAGCTATTTTCTATCATTTGTGAGCATGAAGCTGAAACTCAGATAAAACTTGATCTTGACTGAGTTGTGATGATACTCAATATTGTGTTCAACATAGATTAAGATTGTATCTTTTTACCTTTTGTTGAAGAGATGAGATAAACTTTGATTGTTTTCCCAAGCATTCTTCTCCTTATTGAGCTTCTCACTCTTGTATCACTGCTTGTGCATACCATTCATTGATCTTGCAATTGATTTAAAAGCGTAGTTGTTGCTTATTAGAAACGAACCGGACTGGGAACTGCCGAAACGGTGACACTATTGGTTTGGTTTCCTTTTTGAACCGTTTATCCACTGGCCGGTCAAAGCCCACTGAAATCGGTCAAAACCTGTTAGAACTGGGCGGGCTTCATGTAACCCGGTTCACTTTGGACCATTTTTTTCATAATTTTCTGATAACCAAAATATAATTTCAGTAATCGAACCTAGGACCTGCTTAATAAGGAGAGTCATTTCCGCTAGGCAGGCTGAATCTTTTGAGTAATCTACCAACCAAAAAGTACATATTTCCTAAGTGCTTAAATCAATTTTCATATTTCTCTCTTTTTGAAAGTCTGAAACAACGAAGTAAAATACATCCTCGATTCAAGAAATCAAATGATAGGTTTTGAAACTAATAATGATGAATAATCTAGAGAGAGAGAGAGAGAGAGAGAGAGAGTACATAACCTTATATAATTATGCTGGCATGAATGCCTCCTTTTTTTTAAAAAAAAAAAAAAAGCTTTTCAAACTGGAAATGACTCGCCGCCCAGTACTTAGCCCAGTTCAAATGAACTGGTTTTGTCTGATAACTATGTTTGAAAACATTTGCTGTGTTGCAACTGAAAATAGCTTAGAGCAAGATCAGAAATTGCAACTAAGATGATGTAGCATGAGTTCTGAAAGTTGCTTTTTTTCTTTATGCCTACTCGAAGATAGCATACTAGTCTTGCTTTCTTCAAATTTGTATGGTCCACGTGTTCTTTACCTGTTCTAATGATTCTCAAACTATTGTTATATATATATATATATATATATATATATATATCTGAATTGTTTATCTCATGCTGCTAACCTAAAATGAACCTATATCTGTGATATATATTTCATCTAGATTTTCATCTAGGTTTAAATCTCATTGTCTTTTCTTCTGTGCAGAATGCAGGGATGCGCCTAGGTTTATATGATCGTTGTATCCAGGAGGTAATTGTCCACAGAGGTCGCAGCAGTTATCGACTGGCATTTTCGCTTTAGGACATCGTGCTGTCACGAGACTCGATCTGTTGATAAGCTTTTCTGCACTTTATTGTTATTTTATCCAACACTTTACCTGTTCTAATGATTCTCAAACTATTGTTATATATATATATATATATCTGAATTGTTTATCTCATGCTGCTAACCTAAAATGAACCTATCTGTGATATATATTTCATCTAGATTTTCATCTAGGTTTAAATCTCATTGTCTTTTCTTCTGTGCAGAATGCAGGGATGCGCCTATATGGAGGTGCTCAATATTATCGTGCAATGGCCGAATTCCGTTTTGCTGTTGGAGGAATCAAATGCCCTCCAATTACACGTGAAGAAATTGTGAATGCATGTGGAGTTGAAGACATCCATGATGGGACAAACTATTCAAGGTATCCGTGGATTTCTAGCTATATAGTAAATTTGTGATACTAATCTGGCTAGGTTGCTGATGTTTGTTAATTTCGATTTTCAAATTTTTATTTTCTTGCTTTTTGAGAATATAGGACGTCTTGTGTAATTGCTGTTGCAAAGGCTCGTGATACATTTGAACCTTTTCTTCATCAGGTGTGAATTCAGTACTTTATATGTCAATTTTTCTTGTGTATCATTATGTTTTATGTGAAGATGACAATGCAGGAATCCAATAAAAAATGTTTGTTAGGAAACAGCTTTAAGAATGAGAATTAAATTTTGCACTCAGATAGAGTTTGCATCTGAAGTAGCAACTGCCGTGCTTGATTTTCTGAAAACGTATATTAATTAATTTTCTGAAAAATACATATCAGCCGCAAGCAGAAAGCATGCGTAAATGTGGGTGATGATGGGCCATTATTGCTTTCTAGTTTTGGATGGTTATGTCTCTGGGACTTGTATTTCATACTTTCTTCCTTGGAAATTGTATCGAGCTTGCTCATATTGTAGTTGGGTTATTTCTCCTGTTGATAGTCAAGTTCTGAGGTGGGTACAAAAAATTGTAGAACACATTTCCAATTCACCAGAATTCAGTAGGTGGTAAATGCCTGCATAATGTTGCACTCTGCTTAGAAGGGTCTGTTCTAGGTGATACCTGAATAATCAAAACTGTCCTTAGGTCTGCTTTTATTTCTTCAACCTGATTCATATATTCACAACTTGAGAATCTCAGACAGATACATAAGCTGAATTGACTTGGATCTTGCCTCATATTTCTTGCTTAATAGAGTTGGACTTTCTGGTTCCAGATTATAGTATCTGCTGAAGACTTGCATTGCTGATACTTTTTAATGGATTCTTGGTTGTAACTAACAGTTTTGTACTCCTACGAATTTTCCATGCCCATTCTTGATTTATTGCTCAACTGGATCATTGATACACACCTTGGGATGTGCAAATGGATTGTGAATGATGTATAGTTTCATGTTTAGAGGAATGCTTGTTGATCATACCCGTGCTTAAAAGAACTTGTTCGCAATATGTAACCTGAATGAACTGGAATTAAGAAATTTTACTAAATTTCAGATATGAGATCTTTTTCCTCCTAAAAGAGGATGGTAATGGTATTATTAAAAGCTCCAAATTATAAGTGTCTCCAAATAGACTAGTAGGCAGTAGCATCTTAGATTAGTAACAAAAATAAGAAAGCCTTTAAGTAAATGTGGTTAATAATCAATTGCTAGAGTTGGACTTTAAACTAGAGAGCAAGGCTTTCATTATAGTCAAATAATAAATTTTTCATGTTGTGTGGTGAGTCTTTAATCTGGTGATATGATCAGAGTTAAAAGCCCTATAACGTACTTTGATTTTCATGGAATGCCACTGTTATACATTAACTTTAGATACGAAGAAAATGGTGATGAGCATAGTTGGTTGGTAGTGTGATATATTCATGGGAAATATCTATACATGTGAACATGTTATTTTCTTTGAAAGGATTCTTTTGTTCTATTGTTCAGAGCATAAGTTCAGAAAAGAAGTTATATATTTTCTATAAATGTAATAATTAGTGCATCTTGTGTTGTTATTCTGTTTCGATAAAATAAAATAAAAGAAGTTTTTGTATTCCTTTTATATACATCTGAAAATTGTGGGTTATAATTTGATCAAGCTCTCAGACTTTTGAATTTTTTTGATAATTTCCCGTTCTCTTTCGTTTCTTTGATTTTTGTACATGACTGAAACTGTAACTCCTTTTATGGCTACTAGTTGGGTAACAGGCTCTTGCACATTTTGAAGAGATTGCTCCCCATCTCTGTTTATCTTCTCCAGGTAAAGGCCTTGTTTCTTTGTGTTGAACAACTTTATCTAAAAGCCTAACCTGTTAGATAGGGGCCATAGGACTACATGTATATCATTGAAATATTGTCTTCAACACACCTCCTCACATGTAAGCAAGATTTAATTTTTTCCATGAAAGCCTAACACGTGCACAATTTATTTAAATGGGTGATGGCGAGACTTAAATCGAGGGCCTTTGCATGTTCTAATACTATCTTGTACCACTTTATCTAAAAGTTTAAGTTATTAGATGCAATCACTTTGTCATTTAAATATTGTCTTTAACACTTTCTTAGCTCGCTAGTCTGTTGTGCTGATGCAATTTTTGAAGTACTCAGTTGCTATTATTATGTTTCCTTGCTCTTACGTCCTTTTGATTTTATTGCGAGTGATTTCCTACAGAAAGATGGTGAATATCTGAGTGGCCATGAAGTTTTCCTAAAGCGTGTTGCCTCTGCCTTCAACAACTTTGCAGAGTCCACTGAACGATCATGTCGTGAAAAGTAAATATAATTGCATTCGTTTTGACATTTATGTTTTGATTATTAGTTCTTTGAGTATGTGCAGTTTAAGTTCTCGTGAGGTGCTATAAATTGTTTAGTGGGATTACCCTCGTTGCTTCGATTCCAAATCGCTGTGCACCTGTCCTCTTTTTTTAGCGAATAATTCCTACCTATTTCGAAAGAGTTCCACTCGTTGAGGTGCAGCAGTTGACTGGACATCTAGGGCTAAAGCACTGTTTCAGTGAGGGTCGCGAGAGCGGTACCAAATTTAGGCAAACTTTGAATACCAGACGATGGGGGATAAACTTCATCGTCAAGAGGGAAATAACCCAGAGCACCAGCTAAGGCCCCTAAATGATCGCTTAGTAAGTTTGGCGGATCTAACTTTTGGGTCTTGTGTAGTCGTTGTAGTCGACTAGCCAATAGGTGATTCACAATTCAGGAGTCACCAGATAAAGGATGCCTTATTTGAACACACCTCTTCTGTCTTAAGTTTGCAACTCCTATGCATGATGCACAATGCCACGTGAATCATATGTTAGCATCACATTGATATTAAAATCTGTAGAATTGTAGAAGAAAATATTCAATTCTTATCGATAATTCTAAGAACTTTACAAAACTATGTACAGGAGTGTTCACAACCTTCTAGATATAGAAGTAAATTGAAAAGAGCTAATCTAGCCTAAAAGCAAGGAATACACTACATCATACAAATAAAATCAAATACGATTAAATTAAATCTTATCAAACGAAACAAAATTTGATTGATCGTATCAAGTCGAATCAGATTGAATCAAATCTGATTATCCCACAGAATCAAACAATTTTTTGATTTTCTTTAAAAGTGTTTTATTAGTCTGCCTGGGGAAGGGTTTCTTTGCATTCAACTTCTTTTTCTTGCTAGATTTTCATGCAGATGATTTGTTGTCATTGCTTCACAGTGGTAATTAAATTATTGTCACCTATTTAGGAATTTAGGGAAAAGTTGATGCTGTCCTTGGCTGCTGCTAGGTCCTCTTCAGGCCAATGTAAGCCTGAAGAGGAATGAACTTCCAATCCTCCTAAGATCCTCCTGGAAGCTCCTCCAGGGTGACAATGCACATGGAATCATGATACAGCATCTGACATTACAGCAGCCGTTAGTTGGGTGACAAGCTGGGATTCTGATACCCTGAAGTCTTAAGTCGTCATGGCCTTGTTAATGAGAAGATCAATGGGGAAAAATTGCTGTAATAAGCATGTGCTTGCGGATTCCTCATATGGTCTCTTCTCATCGTATTCCTACATTAGCACATTGGCCATGAGCCTCACAATCTCCTTCCCTCCAACTCATCCTATCTCATCTTCTCTGATGAAGGATGTGGCACCATTTTGATCACATCCATCCACTGGTGAGGGTCCTCGAACATGTGCACTGATTCCACAGGATCTTGCTCCATTCAAAACCGTTAGGTGGAGGAGCTCAAGGTACAGTGGTGTTAAAGAGACAGATAATAGAGCAACTTATGCCAGTTAGCATGCACCTGTCTCCTAACCTTGGTCACTTCATGTAGCAATTGTCCATCAGGCAATATTTTGCGTATGTGGAGATTGGGTCATCTATCACTACCCTCTTGCAATGAGTCAACCATAGAACCTCATAGAACTGGACCTGAAGCAAAAACAGGAGACGTTAGGAATATCGATACTTGATTATAACATGGCAAGATGAAATGTAAAAGGGAAGGAAGGGAAATCCACCTTCCCATGCAATTGCTGAGCCTCAAAAGAATGATTCTGCCAAGTTGGGTGACCCTGTCCATCACAATTATAGATTGGCCAGTATTGCACCTCCGTTTCATTCAACATCTCTGATAGTAGAGGACCAGAGGTGCCATAAGTTGGTCTTGTTCCACTTTTGCAATTTCTTCGTCAAGGAAAAAATCGTAATAAATTATGATTCACCCAAAAGCTCATCCTAAGTCCCCACTCTATACATTTGGTAGATGAGGCTTCAGTGTTCCCGTGTGAATATGATGTTTTTGTTCTTCCATGCCATGTTTTTATTTGTTGAACAGTTGAAGTATGTTAGTTGTTTATATGTAACTTTTTTCTTTCTTTTTTTTTTCCCCTACTCACTTATTTTTTCTTGTCAGCTTTGATTAATATCTATATTATGTGGCGCAATACTTTTTTTAGGTGTATGGATGATTTAACAAGCACCACTCGGTATGTCACTTGGTCCCTCCACAATAAGGTAGGAAAATTGCCATTTGAGGTTTCAATTGTTTACACATAATCACGAAAATTTGCTAATTCAAGATCTGTATCAATTCCATGTATATTTTCACTTTTTGATTGATTGTTTCTGCATCCACATTTCTTTCCAAAGTAGTCTTATTTACAAAAATATGGTTATCAGCATATAGAATGGAAGATAATCCAAAATATGTTTTCCAGTTTTGATGTTGTGGATACATTTTCAATTGGTTAAATTTAATATGTTCAACTAATTTTCTGCAAATCTTGTAACTTTGGATCAATCATGATCGGCAAAGAAACAAATATAAAACTGAGGGGGGTGAGTGCAAGGCTCTAGGAGAGGAGAACATATCTTCAATGTACATGGAATAGTAAAACAGTTTTGTTTATTTTTCACTCCCAGAACATGAGGGGGTGGGAGGTTTCTTACTGAAGCCTTCTTTGCCAGCTTCGGCCCGTCTTAATAGATTTTTAAACATGATCCAAATGTTTTGAGGGGGTTCACGACCTTTTTGACAAAATAAACATGTTTTTAATTTCTAAACTTTGTTGTCTCCTTTGCCATCTGTATTCATTGTCTGCCATTAACCCATCGCAGAATCGAGCTGGATTGCGTCAGTTCTTAGACTCTTTTGGTGGATCGGAACAGTCTACAGTTGGTGGTAATTCTGTTTCTGCCAATCTTTCTCAAGATTTGTCGTCTGGGTCTCCAGGCAATGATAAGCAAGATACCAAGTCAAAGTTAGACTTAAAACTCAATCATTTGGCTTTAGGGAATGACTCAAACAGTAGTATTCAAACAACAGAGACAAGGCTGGCTGACCTTTTAGATAGTACCCTGTGGAACAGAAGGCTTGCCCCTTCCTCTGAAAGGATTGTGTATGCATTGGTTCAACAGATATTCCATGGCATAAGAGAATATTTCCTGGCATCTGCGGAGTTAAAGGTTTGCATATGAATGCCTCCCTGTCAATAAAATGTACTTGTTTAGATCCTCTGGCTAATCTAAGTGAATGTTTGGCACAGTGTAATGGACAGTATAATGTATAAATTTTTTTTCTTTCTTGACTGTCCAATGCCATCAAATTCTCCCTGCCAAACACACACACACTAAGTGTTCAGCTAAAGGACGCTAATCCGGGGATTAAATATTGATTTATTTCTCACGACAGTGAACTAATGCATTCTTTCTTCTTGTTGTCTACTTTGCTGATTTCCTCTTCTGATTTTGCTTTATTCAACAACATTTGACCATTCAAATTTCACATTGCTACCCATAATTTAATTACTGCAACGTATGCGTTGAAGCAAAAAGCTTCCAATTTCTCCAAATTACTATCCATTGCTTCTGTTTTGCAGTTCAACTGTTTTCTTCTGATGCCTGTTGTTGACAAGTTGCCTGCACTTCTTCGGGAAGACTTAGAATCCGCATTTGAAGATGATTTAGATAATGTATTTGATATCACTAATCTGCATCATTCATTGGGGCAGAGGAAGCGGGAAACAGAAATAGAGTTGAAACGGGTATACTAGACGTCACCTTTACTCCTGTGTCAATTGTAAATGTTAGACTATCTGTTTTGTTGCTTACTAAATGTAGCTGTGGCATGCAGATACAAAGACTGAGGGAGAAATTTAGGCAAATTCACGAGCAGCTTAATTCAAATCGAGCCATGTTGAGAGCCGTGAGGAATAACCATCACGCGTGTCAGTGAGTTTTTCACTTCTCCTTTGTTTAAATATGAATTACAGAAAATGTGTGACATTTGATTATGCTTCTGTCATCTTTTACTTAAATTACAATATTACGCTGTTGAGAACCGATAGATGATAAATGAATTATTTCTATTCTCATTTTAATTACCGAATATTCCTTCAAGGGATTTTTTCTTGAAATAGAACAGTAAATATGTAAATGTGATGGCATTATAATCTTATAAATTGCTGGACTGCCAGTTCAGGAATTTGTATATGCCCTTGTAGCGAGTATGCTTGTGGTTTTGTTTTGTATTAACCAATGTTTTCCATTCCCACCAGTCATGTCCGTCCTTCATCGAAACACAAGTATATAAATATCCAAGAAAGTTGTTGTGGGCTGCTCAGCACATTTTGACGTGCCATAGTCATACAAATCTTGGTATTGGAAGTGACCTCATGTTGAGGTCACGACCAATTTGATCGTTTATACTTTATAGGGATGTGATACAGTGAACCAGAAACTGTCATGAACAAAACAGTTATCAATAAGATAATAACAACGTTGTTAACCATTTCATATTAATGCTTAAAACCTTGTCTTCAACTTAGGTCTCTTATTTGGTTACGATTCTATGATAATCGTTTCATCTAAAACTAGCATCTTGATCTTCCATATATTTGTGTTTAAGGAAGAAAAAGATTCTAGGAAAACAATAGTTTTATCAAAATCTACTAAAAATTTGATTAATAGGGGCAATAAAAATATAAAGTTTTCATGTCGACATTTTAAATGATAGTTTAATACTGCATCCGAGTAATCAAAAGTCTTGAATTCATAGTTTACACAGTTATTTATTAAAATTTCACGTATTTTGATGCATTTATAAAGAAAAATGAAGTCCGCGTTCATGTAAAATGATAGTAATTTAAACTTTCGAACGAGATTGATTAGTAATGTGAATGTGGTGTGACATAGACACAAAGTTTGAATTAGAAAAGATTAAAAGAACTAGTATTGCTTTATCAAGATTCCCAAAAAAAAAAAAAGATTGGGTTTTCTTTTTCTTTTTACTATTAATTTTCCACCAATAAAGAAAAGTTATTTGATGTTTAGTCAATCAAATGTTCATACTACAGCTATATTACGGCTAGTTTGTAATTTTACGCTTTGATGATTGCATAACAAGCAGTTGTCGAGTTATTATAGCTGTCAAGATTCAACTTCAACTAGCCGGTGACATGACCTAGGGAGGGAATGTGTCTTCGGGAACCAATCAAAATTCAGATTTTAATTTAAGTCAAAGTGAATAATTAATTGTAACGACGTGTTTCGTGAATTCTACAATTTTTCAACTACGCATTTCATCAATTTTTATTAAAATTTATTAAAAAATTTATTTTAATCTCTACCAAATGAGGGCTTAGTCGATTGTAGGGCTTGGTCCTTCATCACTATGTGTCAAGTTGAGTGCTTTAGTTTGTCACATCACTTTAGAGCGTAACACTCTCGAAAGTAATTTCCATGCTCATTTGAGCATTTGAGCATCATGTAGCCATACAATTACTATATATACAATACTAGCTCATTATTTATTTTCGTGGGTATCTATAGACATATCTTCTATTTGGAACGTTCAAAAGTTAATAAAAAAGAAAAGAAAACCTTGTCATTTGGGTGTCCACCTTAAATAAACCAAAATTCAGACAGAAATTTGCGCAAGTAAAATTTTGTGCCACACACAAACTTCTGTTTCGTGTTCTATTTCACTCCCCGATGAGGGTTTTTTTCACCCTTCCCTCACGGTACTACTTTGCTATCGATGCCTACTCGATTTCGAGATATTTTCGAGAAGAAAGAGCTCACGAGAAAGCTCGTCAGTGGAAATTGTAAAGTTCGGCACTAACAAAATTAGACAGTATAAAGAAATACTATTCGATGCTAAACGTACGATAGTCATCAGCACTTGGCTGTGAAATGGACATTCACCAAAGTGAATATATACAAGTGCTGAGTAAGGATGAAAAGATGAGTCCTTTTTAGTGCAAATGGTGGCAGTACCTTCATAGAAAGATTGTGACTGCAGATGAGCATCTTCCAAGGTTTTCTTCCCCCCCACCCCACCCCACATTTACAAAGTCACTGTGCTTTGTTTTACACTTGTAGTCTTTTACATACATTGTTGAATTGTACCAAATTTCGTGCAGAAAATGCCAATTTTAACAACTATTAGATGGGTATCCACTGCACAGAATTTTATGCTATGTACTCGTTAATGGGCTCAACATTAGTAGAGCTACAACTTGCTTTTTGAAGGTAGACAAGGCTACCCATGCCTGGTCCAGCCAAAGTCTGGCACCGGTGGGGTTAGGTAAGGTTGGGTCGTGGACCGACTTAACTCGAGGGAAGAGTCATGCTAGTCGTGACTTTTCAAGATCTTAGCTTGCTGAGGTTTTTTTTAAAAAAAAAAATATGAAGGAAATAACTATTGGGTTCAGTGAATTTGTCTAGCCCAACACGATCATTGTTGAGCTTTTGTTTTTTTTACTTTTTGAACGACTCAACCAAGTATGGCTGTCAAAAATCGCAGGCCATGCTAGGAAAATGTAACTATGCAAACGTTTTTATTCAAAGTATGAATTTATATATCAGGATTCAAGCACGTGCGTGCGCTCGTATTAAACTATAAGAAAATATGAGATACGCGCTTATCTCTTATCGGTTAGGGTGATTGTGTTAAATCAATTGATAACCATTGTTCTATTCTCATTATCTAAAATGATTAAACTTGATTATACGAGATTTTAGCATTCAATCAAGAAAATCAACACCAATGGGGCCATCAATATTTTATTGATTTTAAATCCTTAAGACTGCCGACCTCGAACAGGTAAAACAAGATTCCAGCAAAATTAGGATTTAAAAAAGTTGTATAACTAAGAATGTAATTATTAATTATATGGTCGAGTTAATTATGAAAAATTACTTATTTATGGGCACTCCTCGTTAGGTGGGCCCCTCCACCCAGATCCTACGGTCCACAAACTAAACTCAAAATCATGGATGACCTTGGATGGCACGAGGTAGATGATATAAGCATGAAGTGTGATACAACATACGGTATCAATGGGAAAATTGCACTGTTGGTCCTCAACCTATTGTACAAGTAGCAAAGTGATTCTCAATATTTAAAAGGAATATGTGAGTAATCAACATTTCATGATACGGTAAAACCTCTATAAAATAATAATATTGGAATAAAGAAAAAATATTAGTTCAAAGTATTATTGATTTATAGATAAACGAGTAATTTATTGATAGCTAAAAAATGTGATGGATGTTCAGCACCATTTAAATTAAAATTATTCTAGTAAAATTGAGACAATGATGATGGAATAGCCTATTGAAACAGTCATTGTTCAATGAGTACTGAAACTATGCCTATCAATGATGATCATGATTTAGATGAGATGTGTTATCACGCGTTTCTCCAAAAGAAGTCGAATAAAAAAAATTCTAATTGCAAAAATTAGGGATGATGTGAGTACCTAAAAAGCTAGCAACTTTAGATGAATATTTTAAGAGAAAATTAAATTAAAATAAAAGGAGTAAATTAAAAAATTCAAAGTATTTAACCAGTTATTATTTTATATTTTCGTTATGCCTAAAGAATTTTAAATAAAATTATTATATTAGGCATTTAACGAGATTGTTAATTTAGTACATTGATCCAAATCGAGACCAAATTTTTTTATTATTTAGATGAGGACCATGAGGTTATTAATTTATAGAGGTTATTCTATAAAATCAAAATTTGTCTCCAACATCAAAATCTCTATTAAATTGTTGTGGCACTCATGTCTAATTTTATAAATCTAGGTTCTATTTACAAACTTGGTCCAATTAAAAGTATGAAGTAAGACATTTTATTACGATCCCGTAACTTCTAACGAATCGAATTTTACGTAGAATTGGACAATTAAGGTTTGCAATGAGTAAAAATCATGATAAAAGGTCTCATGAAAGTTAGAACGTTCTTGTTTTCTATAGTTGTTTGTGCAACTGTAAAAAAAATTAAGACTAATTACTTCTTTTTCAAAGATTTAAGATTGACTTGCTGCTCGAACAATAAGTTAGGGATCGCAAATGAAATGCTCCCTCATAAAAATAAATATAAAAATACACACAGGAACACTGGCGGACCCACATGGGGTCATGTGGGATCAAATGACCCCACATTTTTTTTTTTTTGAGTTTTCCTCTTTAAACATTTTTGAATTCTCATTTTTGACCTCACAAAAAAAATGGTTTCAGTCCGCCCCTGCACAGAAAGAACCTTATTTCCAAATTTCGACAATAGATACATACGGGTTTGATCTCCCGTCCACAATAGAAATGAATTATTATGCCCATTGTGAGTGTGGCAATATCGGTATTGTCATGTCATATCCCCACAGCTCAAGTGGCAGCACCAGATGTTGTCATACCCACAGTGGGCATAATAACTCTTGTCTAACGTGGGCATGAGATCACCACTCTAGATACATGTACAGATATATATACTGTATGTGCTTAACACACCCCTACCCTAGGTCCCTCGCTCCCATATGAAGAAAACCCGTTGCTTGGAAAGCATCCAACATTTCTCGTTTTCCGCCGCTAGGAGAGCAGGATCCACCACTTTTAAATGCCAAAAACACC